GGTCCATCCATGTTTACAGCAGTATCCACACTAGACAAAAGGCAGAAGCAACCCAAGTGTCCATTGGTCAATGCATTGATATGCAAAATGTGGTATATGCATACGATGGAATATTATTTGAGTTTAAAAAGGAAAATTCTGATAAATGATATATTTTATAAAAATATACATTTTTGTAAAGATTTATTTATTTATTAAAAGGCAGAGTTAGAGAGAGAGGTCTTCCATCTGTTCGGTCACTCCCCCAAATGGCTACAATGGCCGGGGGCTGGGCCAGACCGAAGCCAGGAGCCAGGAGCTTCTTCTGGGTCTCCCACACAGGTGCAGGGGCCCAAGCTCTTTTGGCCCATCTCCCACTGCTTTCCCAGGTGCATTAACAGGGAGCTGGATCGGAAGTGGAGCAGCGGTGGGGGGACTTGAACTGGTGCACCACAGCGCGCCAGCCCCAAGGAGAAATCTACTACGTGATGAAACAAGTCAGGCCCCAACGGACAAACTCTGTTTACATGGGGTCACTTCGTGGACAACTGGAGTAGTGGAAGCCAGGGGCTGGGGGAAGGGAGGATGCGGAGGGAGGGAGTTATCGTTTATCGGGTGTAGTTTCAGTTTGGGAAGATGAGGAAGAGCTGGAGACCCCAAGTTCCTCATCTTCTGTGTGACGCTGCTGTGTCTGCGTCCGCGTGCCTTCCACAGGGTGATCCGCCCCCTAGAGGCCGGCAGCTTTCACTGCACCGATCTGGTGGGACACCAGCTACCTTCAGCAGAGGATGGATGCCATATAATCTTCCAGCTCTCTCAATTCCTTCTAAAAAAAAAAAAAAAAAAAAAAAAAAAAAAAAAAAAAAAAAAGAGGGCGGGAGGGGTTGGGCAGGCACTTTGCACAGTGGCTGAAGTCATTGCTCGGGACAGCTGCATCCCATGTCCCATGTCAGAGTGCCCGGTTCAGGCGCCAGCTACTCCGTTCTTTTTTTTTTTCTTTTTTTTTCTTTTTTTTTTTTTTGACAGGCAGAGTGGATAGTGAGAGAGAGAGAGACAGAGAGAAAGGTCTTCCTTTGCCGTTGGTTCACCCTCCAATGGCCGCCGCGGCCGGCGCACCGCGCTGATCCGAAGGCAGCAGCCAGGTGCTTCCTCCTGGTCTCCCATGGGGTGCAGGGCCCAAGCACTTGGGCCATCCTCCACTGCACTCCCGGGCCACAGCAGAGAGCTGGCCTGGAAGAGGAGCAACCGGGAAAGAATCCGGCGCCCCAACCGGGACTAGAACCTGGTGTGCCGGTGCCGCAAGGTGGAGGATTAGCCTAGTGAGCCGCGGCACCGGCGCCAGCTACTCCGTTCTGACTTAGCTTGCTGCTAGTGCTCATCTTGGGAGGTAGCAGAAAGATGGCCCAAGTGCTTGGGTCCCTGCCACCCATGTGGGAGATCCGGATGGAATTCCTGGCTCCTGGCTCCTGCCTGGCCCAGCCTGTCTGTTGTGCTCATTTGGGGGGAGTGAACCAGTGGACAGAAGATCTCTTCTTCTTTCAAATAAATATTTTAAAACATTAACAACACTTTAGGGGTAGATGTCTGGCCTAGCAGTTAAGATGTACGCATCCCATATCAGAGTGCCTGGGTCTCAGTCCCAGCTCCCTGCATGCTGGGAGGCGGCAGTGATGCTTCACGGACTTGGACTTAGGTCCCTGCCACCCACATGGGAGATCTGGATTGAGTTCCCACCTCCTGGGCTGTGAACCAATGGATGAGAGCCCCCCCCCTCTCTTTCTCAAATACTAATAAAAGGAGGAGGAGAGATGAAGAGGAGGAGGATTAGGGGCAGAAGGAAGAATACAATGTATTTTTTTAAAGATTTATTTACTTGAAAGGCAGAGTTACAGAGAGGCAGAAGGAGAGAGAGAGATCTTCCATCTGCTGGTTCACTCCCCAAATGGCCACAATGGCTGGAGCTGGGCTGATCTGAAGCCAGGAGCCAGGAGCTTCTTCCGGGTCTCCCATGTGGGTGCAGGGGCCCAAGAACTTGGTCCATCTTTGACTGCTTTCCCAGGTGCATTAGCAGGGAGCGGGATTGGAAGTGGAGCAGCCAGGACTCGAACCAGTGCCCATCTAGGATGCTGGTGCTGCAGGAGTTGGCTTTACCTGCTACGCCACAGCACTGGCCCAAAACAATATATTCTTATCCTCCCTCTCTTGCTTCCTAAATTTCTATAGATCTATGAGTCTGTTGTCGGTCGTTCAGTCCTGCCGCAGTGACCCGCTGGTCCTGTCCTGTCTTCCTCACAGCCTCATGTTTGGTGTAGTTGGAGAGGGAGCTTTTGTACTTCGCTGAGTCTGCTCAGTCCGTCGGCCACTGTTCAGATGTCAGTTCTTTGGGAAGTTCAGGTCCCACAGTGGCCGTGCAGGATGTCACTGCTGCGAGGAGACACAGTGCAGACCTAATCGCACTGTCTCCCAGTTTCCAAACCAGCACCCAATCTCCTGGCACAGGGCTTGTTCCTCTGGACCTCATCACCAGGTCCAGGGCAGCCCAGAAAGCAGAGGCAAAGCTGGCTGCATCCTCACATTGACCAAGGGTCGGGTTGGGGCTGGACTGGGCCGTGTACCTAACCTAACCTCTCAGTTGTCATGGTGTCTGACCACATGTCCCTAGCGTGGGCACAGACTGTGATGCGGGTGTTGGGCCAGAAAAGGAGCTTCAGCTGAAGTGGCAGGGCACAGCTCAGCTCCAGGAGCTGGTCCTGAGTTCAAGTTCTCCATCGCCAATTCTCTGTGTGACCTTGGCAATCATCAGACTTCTCGGAAGGTCATCTGTAAAAGTGGGCATAACAACCATCAGAGAGAGAGAGAGAGAGAGAGAGAGAGAGAGAGAGATCTTCCATCTGCTGGTTCACTCCCCAAATGGCCGCACCAGCCAGGGCTGGGCCAGGCTGAACCAGGAGCCTGGAACTCCGTCTGGGTCTCCCACATGGGTTGTAGGGGCCCAAGCACTTGGGCCGTCTTCCACTGCCTTCCCAGACCATAGCAGAGAGCTGGATTGGAAGTGAAACAGCTGGGATTCGAACCGGTGCCCATATAGGATGCCAGCACTGCAGGTGGTGGGTTGACCCACTGCGCCATGGTGCCTTCCGATACCGACTTCCGATAGGACCAAAACAGCAAGGGTGGGGCAGGTAGAACAGGGTGGCAGAGCTGATGACCCCTGCCAAGGGCACCTTAGAAAAACGGGTTTGGGTCTACTGTCTCCAGCTGGGAGGGTTCCTGGGGGTCTCCATTGAGAGAAAAAGCAAAGCCCCCCCCCCCCCCCCCAGGAAAAGCAGGTGGTTGGTGGGGTCGGGCTGGGGTTAGCCTGTGCTCCGGGTGAGGCCCAGCCCATGTACACTTCCACCTGTGAATAGCACCAGATCGAGTGTCTGCCTCTCTCTTTCCCCTCCCTCCCTGCCCTGCCCCCCTCACCTGGCCCACGCCTCAGCGCACCCACTAAATGGGCTTCCTCTAATCCCCTGACATCCCTGCCTGTTCTGCCCAGGCCCAGCCTGTCCACCAAGGCAGCCCCCCTACTCTAGGAAATCCTGCTTAGGACCCCGCTACTTCTGAACCCCCTTTCCCTCCTCCACCTCCGCCCTCCTTCAGCTCACAATCTAAGTCTGGGAAACCCCCCCAATCCAGCCCCAAGCTGACAGAGGGGGAAGAAGTTTAGTCTCTGGTCTGGCTTTGCTGTGTGACTCTGGGTAAGTGGCTGCCTCTTTCTGGGCCTCAGGCTCCCGATCCGGTCCCTCTAATCACATCGGTCTGCCTCCTTCTCAGCACCCTGTCACTTTTGGGGATCTTGGTGCTCGTGGGGTCACACACGTGCTTAATGACAGGACCCAGCCGGCCTTGTGAGTCACCCAGGTGCCACACACAGCAGGTGTTGCATTGTATCATGGGGTGAATGTGCGGTTCCTCTCTCTCCCCCTCAGCTGCCCACCAGGCACAGGAGCGTGGAGCAGATCCAGCCTTGGATGGGGTAGCCTAAGGGCCGTACTCCGTGCCTTTGCCACAAGGCTCCCCTGCGGGGGCGTGTGAACCCCGTATGTCCCCACACTGTCTGGACAGAGGAATGCGATCTCGAAGTACATCAGAAGCCCCTGCACCCTGATCCCAGTGATTCGTGTCTGCAGGCCCGTGTGTACCCTCTGTGTCTACAGCACTCAGGGCCTGGGACCCCGGCGGTGTGACATATCCAGGCCGCTAGAGTGTGGGCTCCCTAGGGCAGAGAGAACTGTGTCTGTCCTGTTCCATGCCCTGTCCCCAGGAGCTAGAACAGGGCCAGGTGCCCAGAAGGGTCCCTGCACATCCGGGTGCACGGCCGTGCAAAAGTGCATGCCCAGGCCTGGCGGGTGCCCACGTGCCCACATGCGTGTGGACATGTGCGTACTCTGTGTCTGAGGGTGCCCCTGGCTGTGGGTGCTGTTGCTCATGCACCACTCCTGTCCGGTTCCTACCTCCTCGGGAGCCAGGGCCCAATGCCCGGGTCCCCGTGGGCGGAGCAGGGGACCGCCTCCTCAGGGGAAACTGGATCCCAGGACGTGCAGAGCTGCAGGGAGCCGGCAGCCCCTTTGTCCCCCATAATCCCCTCCCTGCCTTAGCCCCTCCCTCCCAGCCCCCCAAGGTTTAAGGTCCAGCTTGGGGGTCATGGGGGGGTCTCAGATGACCCCTCAGTGTCCCCTTCCCTGCCTAGTCTCTGCCTCTGGGACATGTGTGCCCAAAGTCCCAGGCCCCGCAATCTAGAATCGGTGCAGCCTTCCGGGCCACTCCCAAACCTCCTCCCCTGCTGGGTGCCTGCTGCCAGGTCTGCCTCTCTGTCTTTGCAGTGACCATGTCCCCTGCCCCACTTCCCCAGCGTGGGACTCCCCCCCTTCCTGGGCGGCCCCAGGGCTCAGCCCCAGGTATAAAGCTAACAGAGGGATAGGAGGACAGGTGCCCTCGAAACATACAGAGACGGCAGGAGAAGGCACCGAGGAGAGAGCATGAGCGGGCGGCTGGGTGAGTGAGAGGGTTGGGGTGCCGGGGCCTGGAGGCCAGGAGGGGAGGGGGCTCTGCCAGGCCGCTCTGGCTCCTCTAACTCACGTGCCTGAGGCCTTTGCGTCTGCTGGGAACCTCCAAGTCCTTCCCGCAGAAGACTGCGTCCATCCCAAATTCAACAAGAATTTATTGAGCACTTACTTCGTGTGAGTATCCCCTGGGGATTGGTTCCAGGCTCCCCCGTGGAGACCAAAGTCTCCGTTCCAGTGCCCCAGTGGTGTGGTGTTTGTTTATGACCTACCCTTGTCCTCTCACAGACTTTATTGGTCTTTGTTTAATTTTTATTTATTTATTGCCATTTGTATTTGAAAGAGAGATACCGAGAGATCTTCCATCTGCTGGCTCACACTCCCAAATGCCCACAGTAACCGAGGTTGGGACAGGCCAAAGCCAGGAAGCAGGAAATCCATCCGGGATCTCCCGCATGGATGGCAGGGACCCAGGTGCACCTCGGCTGCCTCCCAGGGTACGCACCAGCAGGAAGCTGGACTCAGCGGCAGGGCCAGGACTTGGTCCCGGGCTACACCCTGACTCGGGTGTAGGCATCCCAAGTGGCATCTTAACTGCTGTGCCAACCGCCGCCTCCTGCAGAACACTTCAAATCATCTCTAGAAGCCCTGTGATATCTGATACAAGGCGAGGGCTGCGGCAGCAGTTGCTACACTGTATCACTTATAGTTGCACTGTGTTGTATAAGGACAAGGAAAAATCTGTGCCCATGTGGCATTTCTGAAAGCTGCGCATCCCCCATTAGGCATTTGATTCTTCAGATGTAAAACACACGGGGGTATAGAAGGCCGAGCAGCACTGTGCTAGACATCTGGGGATGCAACAGGGGACAAACTGACGCGAATGCACGGCCTCAGGGAAGTTTCGCTCTGCAGACGCACCGGATAGGTGATCAATAAGTAAACCGGCGAGCCAGTGTGATGGAGGCTGAGGGCACCGATCCGCATTGAATGAATCAAATGGCCTTCTTGTCCTTGCCTCTGGAACCTCTGGGAACTCAGGGATGTAGAAAGGGGGAGGTAGGAGACCATCCTGGGTTTGCGTCTCCCTGCCATGGCGTCCTAGTTGGTGTGGCCTCAGGTAATTCCTTCTCTCTGTTCATGGCAGCATAAAATCAGGATAGATTAGTTTAAATTTAAAAACATCTTAAGAGTTTTAAATGTATTTGAAAAAGCAAAGTGAGGGGCCGGCGCTGTGGCGTAGCAGGTAAAGCTGCCGCCTGCAGCGCTGGCATCCCATATGGGTGCCGGTTCGAGTCCCGGCTGTTCCACTTCTGATCCAGCTCTCTGCTATGGCCTGGGCAAGCAGTAGAAGATGGCCCACGTGCTTGGGCCCCTGCACCCACATGGAAGACTGGGAAGAAGCTCCTGGCTCCTGGGTTTGGATCAGCACAGCTCTGGCTGTTGTGGCCAACTGGGGAGTGAACCAGTAGATGGAAGACCTCTCTCTCTCTGCCTCTCCTCTCTCTGTGTAACTCTGACTTTCAAATAAATAAATCTTAAAAAAAAAAATCAAAGTGAGAGAGAGAAAAAAAAGAGAGAGACAGAGAAAGAGAGAGATCTTCTGTCTGCTGGTTCACTCCCCCAAGTGGCCACAATGGCCAAGTGTGCACCAGCTCAAACCAGGAGCCTGGAACTCTATTCAGACCTTGCTCGCTGGGTGGCAGGGACCCACGCCTTCAGGGCACCCTCTGCTGCTTTCCTGTGTGCAGCCAAGACAGAAACCTGTGCATGTGTGAGATGCCAGCATTGCAGGCAGCAGCTTAACCTGCTGTGCTACCACTCTGGTCCCCCCCCTTTTTTTTTATTGGAGATACAGAGAAGTAGATACAGACAGAGGGACATCTTCCATCACCTGGCTCACTTCCCAAATGCCTGCAATGACTAGGGCTGGGCCAGACCAAAGTCAAGAGCCCAGGAACTCCAAGCAAGTCTCTCATGTAGGTGGTAGGGGCCCAAGCACTTGAGCCACCCATCACCTGCTACCTTCCAAGTGTGCATTAGTGGGGAGCTGGAGGTGGGTATCACACCCAGGTACCCTGATGCTAGGCTAAACTCGCCCCCAAACCAGACCTTTGAAGGGACAGTTTGGTAGCATGTGCTGAAATGTATAATAAGCGTGGGCCAGCGTTGTGGTGCAGCAGGTTAAACGGCTGCTGGGGACCCTCGCACCTGGTGTCAGACTGCCGCTGGCAGTCCTTGGCTGTTCTGCTTCCAATCTGGGCAGGGAACCCGTGGTTGGAAGATCTCTCTGCGTCTGTCTCTGTCTCTGTGCCTTTCCCTTAAAATGAAACAAAATGAAGTTCCCTGGGGAGGGGAAGCGAGGGTGGAAGCAGACAGACGTGGGGGGTGAGCGGTGATGGGGGCTCAGGCTGAGGTGCAGCCGTGGAAGGCGGGGGACGGGTGGCTCCATGCTGGATACACCCTTTTCAACCTTTTATCGAAAGTAAGGACTTTACAGAAAAGCACACAAGCCCTAGGTCTACAGAGCTCGGGGAACCTTCACAAAATGAACACATCCTTGTGCTGGGCACTCATGGGCCTTCAAGGAACACTTGGTGGGGGGGGGGGGGGGGGAAGAAACCAGCTTGCACTGGGCTCACTTCAGCGGCTCATATCGTAAACGTGGGGCAGTGCAGAGATGAGCAGGGTCCCAGCAGAAGGATGATATCAATTCGTGAAGTTTCTTTATTTTAAAGAATAAAAGGGAGGTGCCGGGGTGGTGTGGCAGAGCGGGTAAAGCTACCACCTGCGACACTGGCCATCCCATATCAATGCTGGTTCAAGTCCCCGCTGCTCCACTTCTGACCCAGCTCCCTGCTTGTGTATCTGGGAAAGCAGAGGAAGATGGCCCAAGTGTTTGGGGCCCCTGTACTCATGTGATAGAATTGGATGAAGCCCCTGGCTTTGGCTTCGCTCAGTCATCTGGGGAGTGAACAAGCAGATGGAAGATCTTTCTCTCACTCTGCCTGTGGCTCTGGTTTTCAAATAAAAATCTTTCTTTTAAAAAAGAGATTTATTTATTTATTTATTTATTTGAGAGGCAGAGTTACAGACAGAGAGAGGGAGACACAGAGAGAGAGGTCTTCCATCTGCTGGTTCACTCCCCAAATGGCCACAATGGCTGCAGCTGTGCCTATGCGAAGCCAGGAGCCAGGAGCTTCTTCCATGTCTCCCACGTGGGTGCAGGGGCCCAAGCACTTGGGCCATCTTCTACTGCTTTCCCAGGCCATAGGGGAGAGCTATATTGGAAGTGGAACAGCTAGGACTCGAACCAGTGCCCATATGGGATGCCAGCACCACAGGCAGAGGCTTAACCTATGCCACAACACTGGCCCTATAAATACATCTTTCTAAAAAATATAAATACATAGGGGCTGATGCTGTGGTGCAGCAGATTAAGCCACTATCAGTAGCGCTGGCACCTCATATGGGCACTGGTTTGAGTCATGGCTGCTCCACTTCCAATCCAGCTCTCTGCTCATGCCCAAATGTGTGGGCCCCTGCCAATCATGTGGGAGACCCGGATGGAATTCAAGGCTCCTGGGTTCAGCCTGGCCCAGCCCCAATCATTGCAGCCATTTGGGGGAGTGAACGAGCAGATGGAAGATTCTCTCTCTCTCTCTCTCTTTCTCCCCCCCAACTCTGCATTTCAAATAAACAAATCTTTAAAAAAAAACACAAGCAAAAAGAATAGAGGCACCAGGATTTTCTGTGGAAGGTATGTGTAAGGCAAGAAAAAGGAGGCTTCCCAGGGCACACCATGGTTTTGCAACCTCAACATGGATGTGCTATTTTTTTTAAATATTTATTTTATTTATTTAAAAGGCAGAGTTAGTTACAGAGGGAGAGAGAGCTTCCATCCACTGGTTCACTGCCCAGATCCGGCCACAGGGAGCTGGATCAGAAGTGGAGCAGCTGGGACTGGAACCAGCCCACATATGGATGCCGAGTCTTCCTGGGGGCCGCTTAACCCGTTCCCCACAGCGTCGGACCCCTGGCGTTTCTCTTACCTGGGATGGGGAAGATGGGGAGAGACGTGGGCTGGGGAGGGGGGAGCAACACCCTGAGCTGAGTGCTGGAAATTTTGCCTTTGAGATGTTCACTAACCTCCACATGAAAATGTCAAGGAGGAAGTTGGACAAGTTCAAGGGAAGTTCAAGAGGAGCTGTGAGCAGAAGTAATCCACCAGCGGGTGATTCTGCCCTGCCTTGGACACCTAAGATGGCTGCAGGCCACTGGGGCTTGTGGTTGAATGAATGAATGAAGGAAGGAAGGAATGATGGGGGACTGGGGACTGATGTTGCATTTCCCCGCCAGCCCCGCTGTGCCTGCTGGCCCTGCTGCTGCCCCCGCTCCGGCCCGCGGCCCCCCTGTCCCCAGCTGAGCCCATCAGCCAAGCCTACAGCCTGGCGCTGTACATGCAGAAGAATACATCGACGCTACTCCAGACCTACGTGAGTGACGCTGGGCGTGAGGAGGGGACGAGGTAGGGCAGAGCCAGCCCAGAAGGCCCCACACACGGGCTTGGGAGGCTCAAGTGCTGTCCCCGAGGGCCAGGTGACCTTGGGCAAGGCATTCCTCTCTCAGCATTGAGCTCTCTCATCTGCTAAATGGGCCGGTGCTGCTGCACTCTCAGGGCTGTGACTTCTCAGGCCGGGCCCTTAGGAAGCTTTTCCTCCCACCCGCCGTGCGCTGAACCCTGGACATCACGACATGGAGTCCTCAAACCATTGGAAGGAGTAGAATTAATTACAACCCAAGCTACACAATCTGTGTTCTGGTTCCTCAGATAACCTAGGGCACCTGTACCTCAATTTCTCCTCCTATAAAATGGGCATGTGAGACCACATGACCTACCAATTAGGAGATCTGTCCGTGTGCATTGAGATTCTGGTGGATCGTGGTTTGCAGAGGTTAGAACTTTGATGGTGAAGGCTCTCCACTAAATTTCATAATTAATAATTACTTTTTATTTTATTTTATTTTTTTGACAGGCAGAGTAGACAGTGAGAGAGAGAGACAGAGAGAAAGGTCTTCCTTTTGCCATTGGTTCACCCTCCAATGGCCGCCGCGGCCAGCACGCATCGCGCTGACCCGAAGTCAGGAGCCAGGTGCTTCTCCTGGTCTCCCATGGGGTGCAGGGCCCAAGGACTTGGGCCTTCCTCCACTGCACTCCCTGGCCACAGCAGAGAGCTGGCCTGGAAGAGGGGCAACCGGGACAGAATCCGGCGCCCCAACCGGGACTAGAACCCGGTGTGCCAGCGCTGCTAGGCGGAGGATTAGCCTATTGAGCCGCGGCGCCGGCCAATAATTACTTATTAATGATGAGAACAAAATTAATAAATGTGACAACTAAATTATATAAATAAAAAAAGAAAGCTATTGGGTCATAGCTATGTTGTCAATAACACAGCTTGAATGAACATGTTATGGTGAACAATATAATCCCAGAGTTCACAGATATTAATAGGTTATTAGTTAACAGTGGCTTTTCACATGCTTATTGTATGTCAAGGTGCCATGTTCAATGCTTTGTAGATGTTATTTGGTATGGTTTTTTTTTTTAATTTTGTATATTTATTTGAGAGGTAGAGTTACAGACAGTGAGAGGGAAAGAGAGAAAGGTCCTCCTTCCACTGGTTCACTCCCCAAACGGCCACAACGGCTGGAGCTGTGCCGATCCAAAGCCAGGAGCCAGGTGCTTCTTCCAGGTCTCCCACATGGGTACAGGGGCCCAAGGACCTGGGCCATCTTCCACTGCTTTCCCAGGCCCTAACAGAGAGCTGGATTGGAAGAGGAGCAGCCAGGACTAGAACTGGGGCCCGTATGGCACTGTAGGCGGGGGATTAACCTACTGCACCACGGCGCTGGCCCTATTTTGTATCTTTTTCACAGGAATACGATGACAAGGGGATTATTAACATTCGTGGTTCAATGTCACAGAGCAAGTGCACAGGAAAACAGTAAATCAGGCCCTCCCTGGGCCCTTGCCCTGTGAGCTTCTCCTGGGAAGAGGGCAGTCCCAGACGTGGAGTGGGAGCCCCAGGCACCCCAGCTGTGCCCTGACCCCCGTCTGTCTCTGCTCCTCACGCAGCTCCAGCACCAGGGCAGCCCCTTCAGCGATCCCGGCTTCTCAGCCCCGGAGCTCCAGCTCAGCAGCCTGCCCCCTGCTGCGGTCTCCTTCAAGGTCTGGCACGCCCTGGATGACAGGGAGCGGCTGAGCCGGGCCCAGGAGGCCTTCCTGGCCCTGACCCAACACCTGCAGCTCGTGGGCGACGACCAGAGCGACCTGAATCCTGACAGTCCCATCCTGCTGGCCCAGCTCAGCGCTGCAAGACTCAGGGCCCAAGGCCTTCTGGGCAACATGGCTGCCATCATGGCCGCCCTGGGGCTGCCTATACCCAAGGAAGAGGACACTCTTGGACTTGTCCCCTTTGGGGCCTCCGCCTTCGAGAGGAAATGTCGAGGCTACGTGGTAACCCGGGAATATGGTCACTGGACAGACCGGGTTGTGAGGGACTTGGCTCTGCTCAAGGCCAAATACCCAGCCTAGAGGGGTAGGACTTCCGGTCGGAGGTTTCAGCACTTCCGCTTTCCCTCCCGGCCTTGCCGCAGGGCTAGAGGAGATGCGCCCGGTGTGGCACGCAGGGCTGTGCACCATGTCTTTGGGAGTATCTTCCGGAAGCCGGGCCTGGATGCCTTGTGCCCCGTGCCCTGCTCCTCCACCTCTCCCTGATCTGAGTGTCTCCAAGGAGGCCATTTTGCGGCTCACCAGTCACTGGCTATCCTGGTGGTGAGGACCTGCCCCTGGCAAGAGGTCTGCTTTCTGCTCTGGGGGTGAGGGTGGGGGATGGCCAGCCTGCTTCCTGGGCTCCCTTCCCCCCTCCCCAGAGTTCCCTTCCTTTAATTTGGGGGCTGTGCGGGGCTGACTTCCGGTCTCCATCTACCTCACTCCTGGGTGCAGCGAGGGCTTCTCCCAACCCATCTGCCTTCTTCGTGCTACCTCACTGCGGCCACCTTTCCACTTCTGTCCGAAGGGGCTTCACTTCCTGATCCATAACCACGTCACACCTGTTTTCTGCTCGGGCCACACGCACTTCCTGTCTGTCCAGGACAGACAGATGGCATTCCCACCTTGGGACTCCCGAATCTGAATCTGCTTCTTCAGTGCCTTGTGGCTTTGTCTGGGGTCCCAGGCTGCACCCTGGGGATCCTCCACGCGGTCTCCCCATTTTTTTGTCTCCCCATTTTTAACAGCTGCATGTACAGGTCATGTTCCTTTTCTTTTCTCTTTTTAAACATTTTATTTACAAAAAAACACATTAATTTATTCTCAGAAATAAAACTCTTTTTAAGTTGTCAATTTTTTGTGGTTTAGAGGTGGGGGCGTATAGGGAAGGGCGGGGAGCAGGGAAGGACCTCCCCGGGCAGGGGGCGGGGCCCACGGGGGCGCAGCAGGTGGACCGGCCTTGGGGGGCGGTGGCTCAAAAGGGCCCAAAGGGCCCGCAGCCGCCTTCCCCGCCCCCCGCGGGCCCAGCAGGCGGTCTCTGGCCGGGAGCGGGCCGAGCGAGGGCGAGAGGGAGGCCGAGGGCTCCCAGGGGCCAGAGGAGAGGAGAGAAGCGGAAAGCGAGAGCCGGGGACCCCCGGGATCAGATAAAGGGGGAGGTGTGAAGAGGCGAAGGCAGCCCCAAGGGTGGGGGCAAAGAGAGGCAAAGCCAGCATGTGACAGATGCGGGGGGCGCCCCGCGGGAGAGAAGGGTCTGCAGAGATAGAGAGGGGAGATAGAGACAGAAGCGAGCGAGAGCGAGAGCGCCGGGCGTACAGAGTTGGCGGGGACAGGGCTGCGGCTCGGGACAGGCAGAGCAGAGGCAGCCAGCGAGCGCGCAGGTGCAGGCTCAGGCCGGGCCGCCGGGCAGCAGCGGGCCCAGGTCGCCCTCGGTGCGGCTCACCCACTCGCGGCAGAGGCCGCACACGCGGAGCCCCAGCACCTTGGCCTGGAAGGTGCCCGCGGCGGCGGCGGCGGCGGTGGCGGGCGGCTCCGGCCGGGGCCCCGGGTCGGCGGCACCCAGCGCCGCCAGCACGGTCTCCACGGCGGCGCCCAGGGCCCGGACCTGGCGCGCCGCGTCCTCCAGGCGCCGCAGCAGGCGCGGCGCGCGCGGGTTCAGCTCGGCCTGGCGGCGGCGCACGGCGTCCAGCAGCGGGGGCAGCGCCGCGAGCGCCGCCGCGTCCAGCTGCAGCCGCTCGGCCATCCGGCAGCCCCTCGTAGGCTCGGGGCCGGGGCGCTCAGGCCGGCCACGGGCAGCCGCGGTGGCGAGAAGCCCGGCAGCCCGAAGGGGTCGCCCTGATGCTGCACCTGCGGAGACAGGGCCGCGGGTCAGAGGGGGCCTCGCCGAGGGGGTTCCGAGGCCCCAGTTCCACCCCAGTCCTGCGGCCTCAGTTTCCCCATTTCACAAACAAAGCCCTAGCAACAGAGCTGCTGTGTTTGAGATAAAACGAAACAAAACCAGCAGGGCCTTGGGCGCCGCATCTCTGAAATGGAGCTAATAACAGAATCCATACAGTACCCTCAGCAAGTAAAGTGCTGAAGACAGGGCCTGGCCCCCGCGGGGAAGCCTCAACAAATGTTAGCCTTTTTTTTTTTTTTTTTTTAATTAATGTAACCTTACTGGCCTGGGTTCAAGTCCTGCTTGCATCACTTACCACCTGTGTAGTTTCAAGTGAAACCATTGAGCCTCAGTCTTCCCATCTGTAAAACGGGGTGGGGGTGGGGGACGAGCCCTCTCCTGTCCTCCTCCTAGGGGTTTCTTGGGAATCATATAAGATAATGCAGGGACCCCAGTCAATGTCACTCCCCCAACTTCTGTGCCTGCACTGAGCAGCACCCCAATGAACAGCTGTCAGATGAACAACCAAGTGCAAGGTATAGGTCACGGGTACCTGGCAAAATCCTACAAAGGCCTTGCTTCTCCTTGGCAAACATCCTGCCTGTGCTTCAGCTACTGTGTTTGCTCCCTTGAACACGCTATCTGGAATGCTCCCCATCAGGGGGGTGACTTTATGTTTAGGAGACCCGAGATGGGAGAGCTGCAGTCACCCGTCTTTGGCATGGCAGAGCTGGAACCGGAGCCCTAACTGGTAGGACTGCAGGGCTAGCTCCAGGACCCCACTCTGCTCTCCGAGTTGTCACATTCTTACCTTTAAAGTTCTCATTACCTCCGGGGGTCAGGGGCAGCAGGTTGTGAGGCCTACACCTTGTCTGACTGCAACCTACACTCTCCCTGCGGGACCCCAGTGGTTTGGAGAATCACCCTCCTTCCTCTGGCAAAGTCTCCTCCCGTGGGGACCAGCGCTGTGGTGCAGCAGGTCCAGCGGCCACCTTGCAGTGTCAGCATCCCCAGTGACCAAGTCCTGACTGCTCCACTTTTTCTTTAAGATTATTTCTTTATTTGAAAGTCAGAGTCACAGAGAAAGAAGGAGAGAGAGAGCGAGAACGAGCGAGCGAGATCTAGTGCTCCACTTTTTATTTTAAGATGTATTTATTTATTCAAAAGAGTAATGGAGAGGCAGAGAAACGGGGGGGGGGGGGGTCTGGTTCACTCTCCAGATGGCTACAACGGCTGGAGCTGCACCAATCAGAAACCAGGAGCCAGGAGCTTCTTCCGAGTCTCCCACATGGGTGCAGGGGCCCAAGGACTTGGGCCATCTTCTACTGCTTTCCCAGGCCACAGCAGAGAGCTGGACAGAAGTGGAACAGCTGGGATTTGAACCGTCGCCCATATGGGATGCCGGCACTGCAGGTGGGGGCTTTACCTGCTATGCCACAGCTCTGGCCCCCTGAGTGCTCCACTTCTGATCCAGCTCCCCGCTAATGCGCTTGGGAAAGCAGCAGAAGATAGACTGAGTGCTCGGGCCCCTGCACCCATGTAGGAGACCAAGATGGAGTTCTAAGCTCCTGGCTTTGTCCTGGTCCAGCCCCGGTGGTCTGCAGCTATTTGGGGAATGAAGCAAGAGATCTCCCTCGCTGTCTGTTACTATGCCTTTAAAATAAATAAACAGCTCTTAAAAAAAAAAGTCTGCTCTTGGGATAGAATTTTACCCCAGGCTGCAGCCTTTTCCGGGCCTCCCTAGTATCCCAGGGGGAGAAATTCCTCATTCGTCCTTTTTTTTTTTGACAGGCAGAGTGGACAGTGAGAGAGAGAGAGACAGAGAGAAAGGTCTTCCTTTGCCATTGGTTCACCCTCCCAAAGGCGAGAGCCAGGTGCTTCTCCTGGTCTCCCATGGGGTGCAGGGCCCAAGCACTTGGGCCATCCTCCACTGCACTCCCTGGCCACAGCAGAGAGCTGGCCTGGAAGAGGGGCAACCGGGACAGAATCCGGTGCCCCAACCGGGACTAGAACCCGGTGTGCCAGCGCCGCAAGGCGGAGGATTAGCCTAGTGAGCTGCGGCGTCGACCCCTCATTCGTCTTATTCCGCCGAGGAGATGGAGACCCACGGGGGCGAGGCGACCGGATCACACAGACCCTGGCTCTAGCATTGCCGTACCCCCAAGTCCACGGTTCTCGGCACCCTCTCGGGCTACCCTTGACTTCCAGGCTGAGCAAGTGGCCTCCGGGGCCCTGACAGGGTGCTCCTCCAATTCCCGGTGCAGCCAGGGGCCAAGGGACTGCCCGCCTTCGAAGCCCGGATTTCCTCCGCCGGGGAATGAGGCGGAGAGGGAGAGGCCGGCGGGCGGAGGGACCCCCTGTGGGCGGCGCTGCCCCCTCCCCAGGCGGCCCACCCCCCTTTCCCACTCACATATTCCTGGAGCAGCTGCTCCGCGTATTTGGTGAGGAGGCGGGCTAGGCTGTGTGTCTGCCGGATCTTGGCCTCCAAGTGGGGAAGACCCGGGACTGAGGAGGCAGCCTGGGGATCTTCTGGTGGGAAAGGGCGAGGCATGAGGGCAGCCCGACCCTCCCTGCTCCGTGACCACCGCGCCCAGGCTGCCTCTTCCTTCCCGAAACCCAGAGTCGCTGCTCTGGATTCTGCAGGGTCCGTCCCATTCCAGCTGAGCGGAAAGGAGGCACCCGACCTTTGTCAAGCGGCTGTTCTGTGTCCTCTGTCCCCAGATCCCTGCTGAAACCTCATTAAAGCCTTCCTTCCACTTAAGGCCATGTGTCCATGCTTCTAAGGTAGCTGGCTCTTTTAATGGCTTTTTTTTTTTTTTTTTTTTTTAAATCTGTGTGTATCTACCTTAGTCTGGGAACCCTTTGAGGATGGAGTGGACATAGCTCTGTAACTCGCTTAGTGGAACTCAGATCGAAATTGCCTTTAAGGCCCACTTGCGGGGAGACTTTAGTCCCGTTTCTTCCCTGATGCCCCTTCTTATGCAAGGCACTGGGGCTGGATATTTTCAATGAATCAGAATCTGGCCTGTCCTAGCGTAAGCTTGCGGGCGAGTGGCGCCCCCCAGGAGGACTACATTTCCCGATATGCACAGCGCCCAAACGGTGCATGCTGGGGAGAGTACTTCCAGAGCGGCCACCCTCGCCCCGCCCCCGCCCCCGCCCGCCCCCGCCTGAGTTTCCCACCGCAGCTCCGGATCCTCGGGAGCTTCAACTTTTGGGTCCCGCTGTCGCTCACCAGTTCCCGTGGCTCAGAGGCTTTCTTCCCTACCTCTGCCTCTTCTTGCAGCTGCCGCCCCCTGCCCCAACTTTGATTTTTCTCCTGACACTTGGGGAGGACTCAGGTGTTGTGCCCCAGCCCCGCCTCCAGTCCTCCCTCAGGATGTACCTGAACTGGTGATCTAACTCCCGGTGCCCAAGTCCCTAAATCCTCCGCCCCAGGCCTCCTCTAAACTCCTGCGCCTGCCCTTTCTCAAAACTCACCCGCTTGTTACCTGACACCGGAGCCCTGCTCTCCCCCGCCCCAGCCGCCTCCCTCCGGACCCGGATCCTGCGGTGGTGGAGCCCCAGACCCCAACTTCCAACCCTGCTGGCTCCTGCGCCCTTCAGGGACCCAGCGTCAGGTCCCTCACAGCCCCTTACCCAGACTTCCCTCCCTCCGGCTCATGCTGGCCCCTGGTTGATCCCGGTTCCCTCCACGCCCCCCTTCCGAGGGGGGGGGGGAATGGGGAAAGGGGTAGGGGCGTGGCCCGGGCGCAGCCAATCAGCGCCCAGACCCCAAACATGACCCCCCTCCACTTCCAAGCAAGATTCTTCGGCCCTGAGCTCAGATCCCCGCCTGCGCAGCTTGGTCGGGTGGAAGGGGCAGGCAGGCGGTCTTCAGGGTGGGCTCCGGAGCTCGGGACTGGGGGTTTCGGGGCCTGGGAGGCCACCCTGTGTCCTGCTGCGGGGGGAGGCGGGGAGAGGCGGGGGGAGGCAGGGCTTGGCGTCCGGGCTGCTTTGGGGCTGGCAGGACAAGAATGCACAGGCCCTCCCTCTGGGCTGGGGGCTGGGTGCCGTGGGGGCCTCTGGCTTGGGGCGCACTTGTCCAGACAGACACCTTTCTGCTCCGCTAAAGATGCCTTCCTGGCTGCCCGGCACACCTCCCAGGAGGGAGGCAGACGTTCCACCTCGCCTTAACCTTGGGGACCCAGGACAGACCCCGCCCCCTCCTACATCTCCTCTCCCTGGAAATCTGGACACACCCGAAAGTCAACCCCATTAACCTGAACCAGGTGCTGCCTCTGTCCGGGCGTGGGACAGACAGGCGCCACACTCACTTTTGGATTCTAGCCTCCTGCGGGGCTCACAGTCTGACTACAGTTGGAAGCAGCCGGACTGAGAAGGAGGTGCGCGTGTCACTGAGGATATTGGCTTGAGCAGAGCTCTCCGGCAGAAAGGAGGAAGAGAAGTAACCAGCAGAGGGCCCAGCAGGTGCAACTGAAACCGGACTGTGACCCGTGTCACAATGACACCCTTAGTAACAGCGATTTTTTTTAAGAGTTATTTATTTATTTGAAAGTCAGAGTTACACAGAGAGAGAAGGAGAGGCAGAGAAAGAGAGACAGAGACAGAGAGACAGAGACAGAGAGAGAGGTCTTCTATCCGTTGGTTCACTCCCCAGTTGGGGAGTTGGGCTTATCCTAAGCCAGGAGCCAGGAGCTTCTTCCAGATCTCCCATGTGGGCGCAGGGGCCCAAGCATGTGGGCCATCTTCTACTGCTTTCCCAGGCCACAGCAGAGAGCTGGATCGGAAGTGGAGCAGCCGGGACTCAAACTGGTGCCCATATGGGATGCCGGCACTGCAGGCAGTGGCTTTACCCACTACACCACAGTGCCAGCTCCAATAACAGCAATTTTTTTAAAAAAATTATTTATTTGAAAAGCAGAGTTACAGAGAGGGAGAGGGAAAGGGAGAGGGAGAGGGAGAGAGAGAGAGAGAGAGAGATCTTCCATCTGCTGGTTCACTCCCCGAATGGCAGCAATGGCCAGGGCTGGGCCAGGCCAAAGCCAGGAGCTTGGAGTTTCTTCCAGGTCTTCCACATGGATGCAGGGGCCCAAGGACTTGCACCGCCTTCTGCTGCTTCCCCACGTATATCAGCAGGGAGCTGGATCGGGAAGTGGAGGAGCTGGGACTTTGCATAGGCACCCATATGTGATGCCGGCACTGCAGGCGGAGGCTTAACCCCGCTGCACCACAGTGCCGACCCCAACAGTAAATTTTTATTGAGGTCTTTTACTACGTGCTGACCACTGTTCTAAGTGCATATTAAGTTACTGCCAAGTTTTAGTTGAGGAAGTAGATATAAGTGGCTTGTCCGAGGTCACGTAACGGGGTGTGGCTGACCCGGGATGTTTACCATGGCGGGCCAGCTCCTGAAATGCTGTCAAGGCTGTCTTCCCAATCCTGTAACCCCTCTGGACAGGGTCAGAGACAGGACAGCCACACACAGCTGCACCGATTTAGACACGATCAGATCTGCTGGTAAAGGAGCCTTCGAATCAACCAATCATTTTCTGCAAGGAAACTTCTGAGTCAACTGCAAAACACAGATGGAGAAACGCACACATCCCCAGCGCCCAGCTTGATGAATTTTCAGAGGAACTTCGCCCAGGGAGCCCGCGCCACATTAGGAAACAGACATGATGGGTTCCCAGAAGCCCCTCTGGGACCCCTCCCAGTCCCGAAAGAGACACCCTCCCGGCTTCCTAATCCTGACATTTTCCTATCTGCTTTCGAACTTCATAGAAATAGAACCAGGTGGTGTATCTGGCTTAAACTCAAGATCTGCTGGGGGAGACTTGTCCCGTCGCTGGTGTAGTGGGACAGCGGGCATTCTTGCCCGCTGGGTCTCTCTCTTGGGTATCAATAGCTGCAACCCACTTCCCTGTCTCCTCTTAGGTAAGCCGTTTACGGTTCGGGGCTGTTAAGAACGCGGCTGTGAACATCCCAGCTCACGGCTCTTGGTGCTCCTGTCTAAGCATTTCTGCTGGGTGCTGACGTGCTGGATTCCTGGGCTGGTCTTTGTTCAGCTTCATGGGAAAGTCTCTACCAATTCCCACTCCCCCAGAAACAGAAGGGAGGCCACGCGGCTCCGCTGGCCCGCCCACACTCGGTATGGCCTGTCGTTCTCGCTATAGCCATCCTGGGGGGTGGAGACTCACTCATGTGTGCAGCTGTGGCGCGTAATTGGCACTGGGCTGCTAGATCGTTGAATGAATGAATGGGTGAACGAATTAAGTTGGGCAGCGTAGAATCAGCCAGCCCGGCGAGGGAGGAGGGGGTGTCCGGGGACACACACACGGTGTCTCAGGTTCGCACACCTGCACCCAGACCCTCTCGTGCACCCGAGCGCCCACGTGGTCTGGACGCGCCGCCTCGGCGGAGCCGCGCGCGTCCAAGTCGCCGAGCCAGCGGGCCCCCAACTCTCGCTCGCTCTCGGCGGCGGACAGGGGGCGCTGCGCGTCCGGGCGCCCCCGAAGGGGCGGGCCCGGGGCGGGGCGGGGCTGGCCCGGCTTCCAGGCCTGGGCTCCGGCACCCGCGCCGCCCGGCCGCTCCGGGGACGGGCCGGGGCGGGGCGCGGCGGCAGGAAGCGGGGCGGGGACTCACGGGGAGGCTTTGGGGAGCGAGGGAGGGCGCGGCCAACTCCCGGAGGGGACGGCGGGCGGCGAGAGCGGCGCCCCGGCCTGGCGCCGAGCCTGAGCCCGCCGGACGGGAGGCAGCCCCGCCGCGGGCTCGGCCCCGGCCCCAGCGCCGCCAGCATGGCCGGCCGGACCGTACGGGCTGAGACCCGGAGCCGGGCCAAGGATGACATCAAGAAGGTGATGGCGACCATCGAGAAAGTCCGGCGATGGTGAGCGCTGCCCCGCGGCCGGGGCCGGGACCCTGGCGGGGACCACCGCCCCCTCGCGCGCCTCCCCTCCCCTCGCCAGCTGCGCCCCCCAGGTGTTAGGTGCGCCCCCGGCCACCAGCTGTGCGCGGGATCCCCAGGGCTCCGTCTCCCTTCCCCGGGCTACCCCCGGAGGTCTACAAAGCGTGGTCCCCAGCCGTGCCTTCGCCGGGCGGGAGCCCTCGTCCGTGCCCCGCCCCCTGAAGCTCTGACACTCCTGCAAGTATGGCCCGGGCTCCGAGCTGCGTCCCCAGGGATGGCCCCCTCCCTCCGGAGGGGTTCTGCCCTAGCCATGGCCCCGAGGCGTGCCCGGGGCGCCCCCTCCCCATCTTTGCCCTGGGCTCGCTCTCTCCAACAGTGCCTCATTCGCAAAACCGCCCCAACCCTCGTGCACCTCCCCCACCTTGCAGATGTGGTACCTGGGGCAGAGGCGGAGGCGGCGGGTCAGGCGGGTGCGCGCGGGGGGGGGGGGGGGCGCCTCTCCCATCAGGCCTCTCTGACCCAGCACCCCACCCTCCCACAGGGAGAAGCGTTGGGTGACTGTGGGCGACACTTCCCTTCGCATCTTCAAGTGGGTGCCGGTGGTGGACCCCCAGGAGGAGGTGAGCAAGCCCACCCCCCACCCCCCAAGACCCTGCATCTGTGCAGTCTCAGCCCAGCTCCTCCCCACCCTGGCCTCCACCTCCAGTGCCTACCGCAGCCCAGATGTTCAGGATTACTCGGCTGCCCCTCCCCCTCCCCCTTTCCTGCTCCAGACCCCCCCCCCTGCAAGGCTAACCCAGCACGCACAGCCTCTGTCACCTCTGGCTGGGCCTTGGGTTTCTCTGTGCCTCAGTTTCCCCGTTTGTCCCCGTGGGGCTCTGCCAGGGCTGCCGGGAAACGCTGGCTCTGATCCTCATCCCTGTCACCCCCAGGAGCGGCGGCGGGCAGGTGGCGGGGCAGAGCGATCCCGTGGCCGAGAGCGGCGAGGCAGGGGTGCCAGTCCCCGAGGGGGCGGCCCGCTCATCCTGCTAGATCTCAATGGTATGTGTGGGGGCCCAGGCATTGCCGGGGGCGGGGAGGGGTGGCTGTGGGACCTGGAGGAGGGGCCTGGGGGCCTCAGGCCGACCCTCTGGGCTCTTGTTTCTGCAGATGAGAACAGCAACCAGAGCTTCCACTCGGAAGGCTCCCTGCACAAGGGTACCGAGCCCAGCCCCGGGGGCACCCCACAGCCCAGCCGCCCTGTGTCACCCGCCGGAGCCCCGGAAGGGGTCCCTGAGGAGGCTCAGCCCCCACGGCTGGGCCAAGAGAGAGGTAGGATCAGGTGCCACCCAGAGCCCCCTTCTCTGCGCCCAGCAGCTCACCCCGCTACCTGCCCCTCTCCCATGAGCCCCGTGGAAACAGTGCCCGCCCCTGCCGTCTCCTCTGGCATTTCCCTATCAATTTCAGTTGCTGCTCACATACTGTCTTCCTGCCCCGTCTCGTGTCGGCTTCCTGGAGGTCGGGCCCTCCCTGATCTTGTTCACGGCATCCTCCAAGTCTAGTGGGACGCATAATAGGTGCTCAATCAATGTTTGTCGAGTGACTAAAAGACGAAGCTACTCACGGGCGCTATTGATTGAGCTCTTACTGCGTGCCAGGCGCCTTCCAAACACTCTGTTCTGTTTTATCTCATTGACTCGCCGCCTCGGAGGGGTTAGCCTGCCCTGCTTCCTGTTTGTAGCTGAGGAGGCAGATCAGCAAGGTTAAGTCGGTCGCCCGAGCTCACACAGCGTCTTGAGGTTGAGGCTCCTCAGCTCCTCTTTCTTCCAGTCCACCCCCGCCCAGCGTGGCCTCCCCAGGCCACAGCCTGGCTCCAGCCGCCCCGCAGCTGTAGCACAGCTCTGCCTGAAGCGGGGGGTCGGGCGGGGCTCATTTTCCTGCTGTGGCTCCTTCTGCCCCCTGAGCTGGACGCTGAGGGCCCCCTGTGCGCCGTGCCCTGCCCGCCACCAAAGCCACGGCTTGGGCCTGGGGGCTGAGCCTGGACACCTGTGCTAATAGAGAAGCAGTGACCGGCATTTCTGGCGCACGTGCTGGGTGCCAAACACTTTGAGCTGTACTACCTTGCCTCCTCCTCCCGAGAGTCATGCACCAACTGCGACTCCTGGCCCCATGTTATGGATGGCTAAGGAGAGGCCCCAAGAGACGGAAGGAGCCGGCCCAAGGCCAGGATCTGAAGGCGGCCGCTGAACTCCAGGACCTGTGCTCACTACCCTGCGTTCCCTTTGTCTGAAGTGTGTTTTTCTTGGTAAAGCTACACCGCTTTGCAGATCCTGCATAAGTGTTCCTGCTTCAGTCTGGGGCTGGGACTTCAGCCAGGTCCTGGGCCCCTTTCTCTCTGTCCAGCTGCCTGTGTGTGTGTGTGCGCGCGCGCACGTGCGTGCATTTCTCCCAGTCTGACCTCTGGGCACAGAGTGGCTGCTCAGGGAATGACTGTTCACTTGACATTCCAGATCCCGGGGGCATAACTGCAGGCAGCACGGACGAACCCCCCATGCTGACCAAGGAGGAGCCGGTTCCAGAGCTGCTGGAGGCTGAGGTGAGAGAGGCCGCAAGGCTGCACTCCCGGGTCTCGAGGGAACGTGGCACCGGCGCGGGTGCGGTCCGGGCGGGAGGTGTGGACCCAGCACCCAGCCAGGGCCTTAGCGGCCGGGTTCTTGGGGACAGAAAAGAAAAGGGTGTTTCAGAGACAGCTTCCTGAGGGCTGGATCGGGGCCGACCTCAGACCATGAAAAGCCTGAACCAAACAAACGAACAAACCAATAAGCAAACCGCGGTGACCCCCAGGCATTAAGGACAGCAAACCCTGACCGGTCGAGTTAGCCTCACATAGTCCCCGGTTCAGTCTTGAGAGCGCAAGAGCCCGATCCTGGCGCAGTTGGTCGCTGCCCTGAGCAGACTTCTAGGTCTGGGGAGGGGCGTGGTGTGGCGTGGTGTGGCGTGGCGTGGCGAGAGGTGGTTGCAGAGACAGCCCAGGCTCAGAGGCTGGACGCCTGGGTCCGGGTGGGGCTCATGCCTGTCCACCCTTCCTCTCCAGGCCCCCGAAGCTTACCCCGTCTTTGAGCCAGTGCCACCTGTCCCTGAGGCAGCCCAGGGGGACACAGAGGACTCGGAGGGCGCCCCCCCACTCAAGCGCATCTGCCCAAATGCCCCCGACCCCTGAGAAGCCACAGCCAGCCAGCCTGCTTGTCCTGCCTGCCTGCCGCCCCAGGGGCCCCTTCGGCAAATTTTTTTTTTTTTTTTTTTTTTTTTTTTTTACAAATAAAGACCCTTTTGTAATTTTGTGTCCTGTCATTTCCCGCCAGGGCTGGGGAGGGGCTCCGCAGGCACTTTTGTCTCTCACTCCATTTCTCAGATGGGGTCATCGAGGCTCGAGGCTCCGGAGGGCCTTGCTGTAGTCACACCAGGAGCCAGGCCCCTGCCTCCGCACCACGCCCCCCATCGGCCCCATCCCCCAACTCTGACCTCCCCTCCCCTGGCCTCCCTCTCCGGGGAATCCCAGAACCTCTCTGCTTCCTGCTCAGAGCCCCAGGGCCCAGTAGTTCTCAAAGCTCTGGGCAGCGAGGCCCATGGTTCCATTTCCCATGCAGGAACATAGAGGCCCCAACGTGGTCCAAGGACCCGGCCCATTCCTGCCCCCCACCCCGCCCCGGAAGTGGAGCGCAGCGCTCCCTGCCTTGGCGTAGCCTTTTGCCCTGGCCCACATTTCCCGCTGAGTCCTCCTGGTCCCCAGCTCAGTCACCACCTCCTCCAAGAAGCCTTCCTTGAGTCGGTCCAGTCATTCCCCCTTTTCTGAGTTTTCGCCCAGGGCTGGACTTCCTTCCCTGGGCTTCAGCACGGCTCAGGCGGTCTGGGATCCCAGGTGTGCGTGTCTGTCTGTCTATAAGCCCGTGGGCTCCTGAGGACAGAATGAGCTCCCCAGCCTTGCCTGGCACAACACTGGGAACAGAGCAGTCCCAGCACTGCTTTGTGAATGAATGAATGAGCAAATGGGCTGGGCTTATCCCAGAAGGCTTCTCTGAGGAGGTGGCATGTGAGCTGGGCTCTCAGACAGCCCCTCAATGTGGCAGATCTCCAGTGAGACCCTGGTTCAGGTCCTGGCTCTGTTCCTCATGACCTGTGTGGCTCTAGACAGGCTCTTTACTCCTTAAGCCTCAGTTTATTCATCTGAGCAATGGGACAATAATTTGGCTCCAGCTTCTCCAGTGGTTTGTGGAAAACTTCCAGTAACATGAAGTCCCCTCACTCTGTGCCTACATTGGCCCCATTTTTTTAAAAAAATTACATTTAACAAAGGGAACAAACAAGTTGAGAGAGGACCAAAGTGGAACCTGAAGGAGCCCTTTAAGAAGGACTTGTGGCGGAGCCCAGGCTGGCCAGGGCAGGCAGGTGGGCAGTGACTTCCTGTTGGCACTGTGGCAAAGCAGCCCACATTCAGTGGCTTAAAGCCACCTGCGTGTCTCCTCCGACAGTTCTGGACGTCCGAGGTCCATGGCTGGTCTCCCTGGGCTGGGTTTGAGGTGGCAGTGGGGCGGGTGGCTGGAGGGGGGGCCCGGCTGGGGCGGCCGCCTGTATCCGTTGGCTCGCGGCACCTCCCATCTTCAAAGCTGGCAGCACAGCGCCTTCCGGTGTCTCTCTCTGCTTCCCACTCCCTCTCTGAAGGCTCTGTTGATTCAATCAGGCAAGGTTAGGCTAATCCAGGATGCTCTTCCCACCTCCAGATCCTTCCCTTAGGCACATCTGCAAAGTCCCAGTAACACCGTCCCAGCTTTGGGCGAGGAGGATGTGGGGCAGAAAAACTACTGTCTTTCTGGGCCTGTCAGCAGCCGTCTTGTTCCCCCCCAACCCCCCAACGAGCACGGTGTGGTTGCCTCGGGTGGGTGGTGCTCCTGGGTTTGCATCTCAGCGTCTGCTGGGTGACCTTGAGGAGGTGACTTCGCGTCTCTGTGCCTCGGTTTCCTCATCTGTGAACATGGAGAGGCTGTGCCGCATTGGTGGGAGTTGTATCCCGTGACCCCATTTCACAGATGAGGCTGCCGGAGTCGTGTGGCAGTGGGGCTGGGGAGGAGACCCCTGGCACTGGTGCGGTGTCCACGCCCACTTCTGTCCTCCTCCTGGCCCCGGGCCCCAGGTACCTGGCCCCATCTCTGACCTGGTTCAAAGACACGCCCCCTGACTCATACCCCGCCCACCCCGGCCTCTCTGCTCAGTGCCTCTTGCCCCTATCCAGGTCCACCTCCCCTTTCAGGGAACAGTTCCCACACTTCTGCCCGCATGTCCTGGGTCCCCTGCAGGCTCAAAGACCCCAGTGGCCGCACCATGTCTCCACCAGGGTGCCTCAGCCTAATCCACTCCTCCTCCCATTCCCCCTGCACACACAGTCCCAGGAGCCAGCGTCCACCTCCAGGAGGCCTGCACTGCTTCCCCCAGGCACCAGCAAAACTCTTCCCAGCTTCCTGCAGGTCTCCCTGCTTTCACTCGCCCCGCTTCGCCCCACGCCCCACCCGGCAGCAGGGCCCCAAGTGCACACTGCTGCCCCTGGCCACAGCTCCCCACACCTGCATGGTGCAGCCCGGTCCTGCTGCGTGCCACCCTCCCACCTGCTTCCAGGGCACCCACCCTGCCTCGGCTAGACCCCGCTGCCCCGGTAGATGCCTTGTTTCCACCCGCAGCCCTCTGGCGCCGGCCTCTGTCTGCTTGCTCCGCCCCAGTGCTTTCCCAAGCGCCTGCTGTTGCCTCGTCGTGTTGGCGTGTGTTTCCGTCTTAGCGCGGGATTCAGCTTTCCTTTACTCCTAGTGACGTGCGTTGATTGTGTGTTTACTGTTTGCTGGGGGACTGTTTGAGGACCCAGGCCTACAGCATGAACGATCTATATATAAATCCCTGCCCTTGTGTCCCCTTCAGTAAATCAGGTCACAGGTAGGAGGTTATCAATCCTTTGGACAAATGGGCTGGGTGCCGTGGTACCGCAGGTTAAACCCCTGCTCGCGATGCTGGCATCCCATACCCGAGTGCCTGGTTCGAGTCCCGGCTGCTCCGTTTCCCATCTGGCTCCCTGCAAATGCTCCTGAGGAGGCGGGAGATGACAATGGCCTCCCACCACTCATGTGGGAGACTCGGATGGAGTTCCTGGCTATGGGCTTCAGCGTGGCCCTGCCCTGGCTATTGTGGGCATTTGGGCAGTGAACCAGGGGATAGAAAATTTCTCTCTTTCTGTCCCTTTGTCTTTAAATATATCTTTTTTTTTTTTTTTTAAAGAACTACAGCTCAGTAATTGAGATGGGGAAAGAGTGGTTTGCCATTTTAACGAGGGAGACACTGGAGGAGAAGCTTGATGGAGGCAAGAGAAAGAGTTCCAGGGACATCAGAGGACCCCTGGCAGAGGGAGCAGCCAGAGGGAAGGCCCTGGGATGCAGGGAGCCCGGCAAAGGGGCCAGCCTGGCCGGGACGGTCCTGGGAGGGAGGCGGCGGCTCAGGTCAGCAGGGGCCTCCTCGGGCAGGGCAAACACGTGACCTGTCATTCAAACTGGGGGACTTTTGGGAACCAAGGAGGGGGAAGCCAGGATAACAGGTGAGAGCTGGGGACCAGAGGGCATCGTGGTCGCGCTTCGGCTTTGCCCCTGCGTTTCAGCGAGAGCTCCCGCAGGGGTCTGCGCCAAGGTGGAACGCGGTCCCACGTCACCACGTTGTCCCTCAACATCTTATTATAAACTTACAGAAACAGTGTTCAAATGACTTGAAAGAATGTAGCAGTCGAAAGCATGGTATAGCTGGGGCCTGGTGGTTGGGCAGCCTCCTGGGACACTCACGTCCCAAGTCTGAAGGCTACTTTGAGCCCCGGCTACTCAGCTCCCTGCTGATGCACCTGGGAGGCAGCAGATGAAGGCTCAAGTCCTTGGGCTCCTGCCACCCATGTGGGAGACCCGGATGGAGGCCTGGCTCCTGGCCCAGCCTCAGCTGGTGGGGGGCATTTGGGGAGTGAACAAAGGGCAGGCAGATTTGTCTCTTGCTTTGTCACTCAGCCTTTCCAGCAAACCAATCCATCCATCCTGCAACACCACGTTGTGTGGGTCACACACAGGTACCCAGTGCCTAGCTCTATACCACTTTGCTGTATTGCCTTGTCACATGTCCATGTCTACCCTATGTCCTTGGTCTCCTTCCAAACCAACTGTAGACAGTGGCGCACATCCCTCTCAACACTAAGCACGTGTGTCGTTAAGTCCCGTGCAGTTTTTGTGGGTGACGTTGTTTTCCCCACTGGATGTGAAATATCCGAGGACGAAAGGCCCCGTGCCCAGTGCCTCACTCAGTGAGTTTAACCAATGCGGACGACGGCAAAGGCGGACTTGTCAAACACACAACGTCGCAGTCGCTCCAGAAAGTTCCTGATAGCTCCTTCTCACTTCTCCAGTGGCCTGGTCTGTTCTGCTGTTTGTCAGTTTTTTTATTTGAAAGGTGGAGAGGGATCATCTGTCTGCTGTTTCACTCCCCAAATGCCTGCAGCGACTGGGGCTGAGCCAGGCCGAAGCCAGGAGCAGGAACTGAATCCTGGTCTCCCACCTGGGTTGGGGGGCCCCACGTGCTTGAGTTCCTGCTGCCTCCCCCGGAGCGCATTAGCAGGGAGCCGGAAGCGGAAGTGGACCCAGGACTCCAACCCAGGCACTGTGATTCCAGTGTGGGATACGGACATCCCTAGTGGAGTCATCGCCTCTGCAGCAAATACCTACCTGACTTTTTTTTTCCTTTTAACCACAGAGCAGGTTTAACCCGTTCTAGAAACGGAATCAGACGTACACTATGTACCCCTTTGCATTTGCTTTCTTTTACTCAGTGTAATATACATCTTTTAAGAAGATTTATTTATTTGAAAGATAGAGTCACAGAGAGGCAGCAGTAGGAGAAAGAGGGAGAGAGAAAGAGGGTCTTCCATCCTCTGGGTTCACTCCCCAGATTGCTGCAAGGACCAGAGCTGCGCTGATCTGAAGCCAGGAGCTAGGAGCTTCTTCCAGGTCTCCTGTGCGGGTGCAGGGGCCCAAGCACTTGGGCCATCTTCCATTGCTTCCCCAAGCGCATTTGCAAGGAGCTGGACCAGAAGTGGAGCAGCCGGGACTCTAATTGGTGCCCATGTGGGATGCCGGCACTGCAGGCAGCGGCTTCACCTGCCACAGCACCAGCTGCTGTGACATACATTTTTAAAGGCAGAGTGAGAGAGGGCAAGCTTCCACTTGCTGGTTCACTCCCTAAATGTCTGCAACAGCCAGGGCTGCGCCAGGCTGAAGCTAGGAGCTTGTAACTCCTTCTGGGTCTCCCCTGTGGTTGGCAGGAGCCCAAGTACTTGGGCCATTATCTGCGGATTTTGCAGGTGCAGTTAACAAGGAGCTGAATCAGAAGTGGAGCAGCTGGGACTCCAGCCGGCACTCTGATATGGAATGCTGGCATCACAAGCCGTGGCTTAACCCGCTGCATGCTGTGGAATATTCTTGAGAGTGGCCCATGTTTTTCCATGGATCAGAGGCATGGGCCTTTTTATTGCTAAGTTGTATTCCATAGACTTCATTTTGAGCAAGATCACTCTGCTAAGTGGAGAACAAAGGAAAATGGAGCAGCCAAGACCCAAACCGTCACTCCTATGGGCGGTGGCTTTTTTTTTTTTTTTTAAGATTTATTTATTTATTTGAAAGTCAGAGTTACAGAAAGGCAGACACAGAGAGAGAGAGAGAGAGAGAGAGAGAGAGAAAGAGAGAGGTCTTCCATCTACCGTTTTACTCCCCAGGTGGCCACAATGGCCGGAGCTGCATGGATCTGAAGCCAGGAGCCTCTTCCAGGTCTCCCACATGGGTATAGGGGCCCAAAGACTTGGCCATCTTCTACTGCTTTCCCAGACCACAGCAGAGAGCTGGATCGGAAGTGAAGCAGCCGGGACTCAAACCCGTGCCCCTGTGGGATGCTGGCACTGCAGGCGGCGGCTTTCCCCGCTACACCACAGCGCTGGGGGCCCCCAGGCACTCTTGAAAGCAGAAGTTCTGAGACATGGAGTTCGCTTCCCAGGGTGGTCATCACGAGGGAGGGCAGCTCCCTGGCTGCCCTGGTCACCCCATCCCTACCACTCCCTAGTGTCTTCCTCATCTCGTTAAGGCCTTGCAGAGCCTTAAGACTGAGGGCGGAGCTCCAGCAGGCCTGGCCTGTTGCTCATCTTCTTGCCTCTGCTTCCTGTTCTCATGCCTCACTTCCTGCCCGCTGGGTGTCCGCCCGCCCGCCGGTTCTTACCTGCCTTTGCCCATGAGGCCCTGCTCAGTGTGGCCCCTGGGCCCCTCCCCCATGCTCCTAATTTCTAACACACCGCAGCTGGCCAGGCTCCCTCCCCGCTCACACTTGCTGCTCCCTCTGCCTGGGGGAACTCTTCCCTTCCTCGTGGCCAAGGCCATGGCTGACTGATCTTTCAGTCTCGGGCTCATCTCACCTCCTGCAGGAAGGCTCCCTGACCTCCGAACCCGGTCAGCTCCTTGCTTAGTCTCTGGGCTTCCTCTTTATCGGATCTTCCACTTCCCCGTCTCTGGCTCTCCTTTGTCTTCCTCCGGGCAGGCAGGGAAACAGCAGGTGCTTACTACTTAGTGATCAATGGAAGAACTAAAGCAAGCCCGGCTTCCTTTCTCCTGTATAAAGTGCAATGCTCTGTTTTCCCAGCCACTGGAAAGGCGCCGGGGTTTCCGCTTGGTTCCACCTCCCGGCGGGCCCGGGGAGGCCCAAAGTCACCGGGACTCATTTGGGACAGGCGCCGCGAGCGCCTGGCAGAACCCCCAGCTGTGTGTCTGCAGGCCTGGGAAGGCGGGGATGTTTCTGGTTGGTGACGCCGGGCAGGCCGGAGGGCTGCGCACCATCACTTGCTCTCCCACTGTCACATTTGTCTGGGGCTTTTCTTGCCTGTCCTCTCCTTTGTTCCAAGTCAGGGGGCTCGTGGTGTCCCGGCGGGTTGGGACTCAGGGTAAGAATGCACCCTTCTAGGTTCAGACTGATTTGTTCTCCCCGTGACCCGGGCAAAAGCCCTTGCCCTGTCAGGACCTTGGTTGCCTCATCTGAAAAATGGAGCCAATACTCTGTTCCTCGTCTTTGTACCAGGTCCGCAACCGCATGATGTAAACCAAGGTTTGCCAGGTGAACGTTCCCCGCGTGTGCTTTGTCGCACCCCCGGGCAGTTTCGTGCACTCTAGATAATTTCAGAAATGCAGTGCCAAAGAAAAGTCATCGTAACGACCCTGCGTGAGGTCTCGATGTCTTCGGACAAGATCTTGGGAGGCAGCCAGCGAGGGGGCGGTGGCACTGAGAGAACCCAGCCACGAGCGGGGCGCCAGGTTCCGGGACAGCGCCGGTAATGCCTTCGGTCGCCATCTGTGCAACGCGAGCCTGCGGCCCTACCTCCGCCTCGGCCTTTTGTGAAGCTCGGAGGAAACAAAGGAGGGCAGCGTGCCTCGGCACGGCCGGCCCGCGGGGAGCAGGCGCGGCCCGGGGAAGGGTTAAGGCCACCGACGCGGCGCGCGCGTGCTAGAGGGGCCGACGGCGGACTTCCGGCGGGGCGGGGCGGGGCCTGTGCTCCCGCCGCCGGCGGGGGTCGGAGCGGGCGCCCTGCGCTCGGCCTGCGCCTCCTGGGCTCCCTGCCTCGAGGTCCGGTCGTGGGCAGCGTCGTAACCCCGAGTGGGCCTTGGGTTCCCCGGCCGTGCTTTAGGGCCGGGAGGACTCGCTTGCACCTCGGACCACACCGTATCCCCCTGCTGTCCAGTGGAGGAATCTGCGACTCAGGAGGAGGAATTTAAGTCCAGGGTAGCGGGGCGGCCGTGGCGGGCTTGCTGTGCAGGCTCATTCCTCTCATTTCTCACAGGGTGTTTGTGGCTTCAACCCGTTTTACAGATCAGAGAACTGAGGCTCGGGTGCAGGTCAGCGGCCCAGGGGGCTTGTGTGGCCACTCAGTCCTGCCTGGTAGCGAGTGCTTGCTGCTGACCGCTCCCCGCCGGCTCACGCACCTGGTACGGAACCGACAGCGGTCCTGGCGCAGGTGAACCGCCACCTCCTACCTCAGGGGAAGTAATCACTGAACCCCTGTGCATTTCACTGGAGACGTATGTTTAAAAACAGCAGCTTTATTGAGCTTAATCCACACACCCTCCCACTCACCGGTTTGACGTGTACAATTGAGCAATTAGCGCAGTGTTAGAACATTTTAATCAGCCCTGAAAGAAACCGCAGTGGTGAGCAGTGGTTCCCAGGCCTTCCTCCAGCGCGCTCCGTCCCCCAGACTAGCACCAGCGGGCTTCCTGTCTCTCTATTTGTTTATTTGGGCATTTAAAAAAAATACACTGATTTTAAAAAGGTTAATTTATTTGAAAGGCAGCGTTACAGAGGAGGTGGAGAGAGACAGAGCGATCTTCTATGCAGGGCTGGGCCAGGTGTTTGCTTTTCTTATTTTTTTTTTTAAGATTTATTTATTTGTAAGAGAAATTTTCCATCTGCCAGTTCACTCCCCAAATGGTGGCAATGGCCAGAAGTGGGCCGATCTGAAGCCAGGAGCTCCTTCCTGTTCTCTCATGTGAGTGCAGGGGCCCAAGCACTTGAGCCATCTTCCACTACTTTCTCAGGCCATAGCAGAGAGCTGGATTGGAAATGGAGAAGCCAGGATTTGAACTGGTGCCCATGTGGAATGTTGGCACCATAGGTGGGGGCCCTACTATACCATAGCACTGACCCCAACAGTAAATTTTTTTAAAAGATTTATTTATTTGAAAGGCAGAGTTACAGAGAGGCAGAGGCAGAGAGGCGGGGGAGAGGTCTTCCATCTGCTGGTTCATTCCCCAGATGGCTACAATGACAGGAGCTGCCCTGATCCCAAGCCAGGAGCCAGGAGCTTCGTCCAGTCTCCCACACAGATGCAGCGGCCCAAGGACTTGGGCCATCTTCCACTGCTTTCCTAGGCCATAGCAGAGAGCTGGATCGGAAGTAGAGCAGCCAGGTCTCGAACCAGGGCCCATATGGGATGCAGGTGCTTCAGGCCAGGCCTCTAACCTGCTGCACACAGTGCTGGCCCCTGAAGATCAGTTTCTACTGAATGTGTATTGTTTTCCTTCCATTGTGAAGTTGGTAAATCATGTCGAACCATTGTAAGTTGCGGGACCATTTGTAATTATAAAACTGTTTATGTACTTTAATATGTGAAGAAGCAAATTGTATGTCAAAGGAGGAGCAGGGGAAAGAGAAGGATAGAAGCAAAGGTTTTGTATATTATTGCTGTTAACATGAAGGCATCTTGGCCTCTAGGCCAACACCCACTCCTGTGTTGTTCTGAGACGTTGATTGTAATCCCCAGGAGAAACATTCATAGTTGAGAGAGAGGTGGGCAGTGGCTTACACCGCTGCTGTAATCCCAGCATCCCACACTGGAACGCCATTTTGAGTCCAGGCTGTTCTACTTCCAGTCCAGCTCCCTGCTGAGCAGCTGGAAAAGCAGTAGAAGATGGCTCAAGTATTTGCCACCTGCCACCCACAAGGGATACCCTGGCTCCTGCTTCCTATCCAGCTTCCTCGTAATGCACTTGGGAGGCAAGAGAGAATGGCCCAAGTACTTGGGTTCCTGCCACCCACAAAGGAGAGCCAGATGGAGTTCCTGACTCCCAGCTTGACCTGGCCCAACCCTAACTGTTGCAAGCATTTGAGGAGGGAATCAGTGGTTAAAAGATCCTCACTCTATCTCTGTCATACTGCCTTTCAAATAAATAAAAATAAAACAAAATAATTCAAAATAATAGACTAAAAGAAGGAAGGGGCTGGTGCTGTGGTGTAGCGGGTAAAGCTGCTGCCTGCAGCGCCAGCATTCCATATGGGCACCAGTTCGAGTCCCGGCTGCTCCACTTCTGATCCAGCTCTCTGCTATGGCCTGAGAAAGCAGTAGAAGATGGCCCAGGTCCTTGGGTCACATAGGAGACCTGGATGAAGCTCCAGGCTCCTGGCTTCAAATCAGCTCAGCTCTGGCCATGTGGTCTTTGGGGAGCGAACCAGCAGATGGAAACGTCTCTCTCTTTCTCTGCTCTGCCTCTCTGTAACATTGCCTTTCAAATAAATAAATAAATCTTTAAAAGAAAATAAAACAGAAGAAAGAGAATTAAAATGGAATACTAGGGAGCTGGCGCTGTGGTGTAGTAGGCTAAGCCTCGCCTGTGGCACCAGCATCCCATTTGGGTGCTGGTTTGTGTCCCTCGGCTCCTCTTCTGATCCAGCTCTCTGCTATGGCCTGGGAGAGCAGTAGAAGATGACCCAAGTGCATGGGCCCCTGCACCCGCGTGGGAGACCTGGAGGAAGCTCCTGGCTTCAGATCAGCCCAGCTCTGGCCATTACAGCCATTTGGGGAGTGAACCAGGGGGTAGAAGACCTTTCTCTGTCTCTCCCTCTCTATGTAAATTTACCTTTCAAATAAATAAAATCTTTTTAAAAAATAGAATACTAGAAAAATTTTTAACATGAAGGCAGCAATAGAGGAATAGAAGAACAAAAGGACATATAAATAACAAATAGCAAAATGACATGTAAATCTATTGTTAGTAATTAGATTACATGTAAATGAACTAAATATTCCAGTCAAAGGCAAAAATTGGATTGGCATAATAAATTTTTAATAATTTATTATTTTTATTTGAAAAGCAAAGAGAGACTGAGAAAGATCTTCCATCCATTGGTTCATTCCCCAAGTGCCTCTAACAGCTGAAGTCAGGAGCCCAGAACACAATTCAGGTCTCCTACATGGGTGGTAGAGACCCAAGTACTTGAGCCATCATTTGCTGCTCCCAAGGCGTGCTTTAGGAAGAAGTAGAATTGGAAGGCACTTCAATAGGCTATGCAGGCATCTCAAGTCGTGTCCTAACCACTGGGCCAAACACCTGCCCCAGAATGGATTTTTTTTCCTAATGATCTAAATATATGTTATCTTTATATTCAAATTCACAAATAAGTCTTAAGTAAAAGGATGGAACAAGATATGGCATATAAAAGTAACCATAAGAGATATGGAAAGGCAATATTAATATCAGACAATGTAAGAAAAAAATTGTCACTACAGACAAGGGAAATTTTATAATGATAAAATGATAATTATTTTACAAATTTATTTATCAGAGAGAGATCCCCCATCTTCTGGATCTGTTCCCAAATGCCCTCAATAGTCAGGGCTGACCCAAGCTGAAGGCAGGAGCCCAGAACTCAATCTGGGTCTCCCACATGGGTGGCAGCAACTCAAGTACCTGCTGCCTCCCAAGGGGCACATTAGCTGGAATCAGGAGCAGAGCTGGGATTTGATCCCAGTCAGTTGGTCATGAGATGCAGGCATCCCAAGTGAAGTTTTTTTTTTATTTATTTATTTATTTATTTATTTATTTATTTATTTTATTATTATTTTTTTTTTTTTGACAGGCAGAGTGGACAGTGAGAGAGAGACAGAGAGAGAGTGAGGTCGCGTTGTTTATTCTATGTTATTTATTTTGTCTCAATGGATGGTCAGTCTTCCCTCCGCCCTACCTCTGCTCAGCACCGGAGCATAGACTATCAGTCAGATTTCTCTCTTTTCTCTTTTTTGTCGCGGGGGAGGGAGAGACAAGAATATTTTTCTTTTTCCTTTTCCCCCCGCCAACAAGGGTCTCTTGCAAGGGGGCAGTCCCGGCGCAAATTTTGGCGCCCCCCCCCGGGAATACCACCCTGTGTCCCCCGGCCCTTACCGGGGATCTTATTTTAATCAACCTCCGCCCCCCCCCTCAAATTAATTTTATTTTCCCTTTACGTTGCTGGGGCTCGGTTATCTTAAATTATCAGGAGTCCCACCCCTCTCCCCATCTTCAAAACTCTGAAGCCAAACCGGAAAGAATTTCATTGGTGGCTGGCCCCCCGCCTCACTAGGCTATCTCTCCTTGCGGCGCCAGCACACCGGGTTCTAGTCCCGGTCGGGGCGCCAGATTCTCTCCCGGTTGCCCCTCTTCCAGGCCAGCTCTCTGCTGTGGCCAGGGAGTGCAGTGGAGGATGGCCCAAGTGCTTGGGCCCTGCACCCCATGGGAGACCAGGATAAATACCTGGCTCCTGCCTTCAGATCAATGCGGTGCGCCGGCCGCAGCGTGCCGGCCGCGGCGGCCATTGGAGGGTGAACCAACGGCAAAAGGAAGACCTTTCTCTCTGTCTCTCTCTCTCACTGTCCACTCTGCCTGTCAAAAAAAAAAATTGACTAGCAGATAGGTAATTCAGAAGTAACAGCTGGAGGCTTCATCGTTCCACTTTCAGCAGTGGACAGAACAGTTAAATCAATAAGGGCCAGCGCCGCAGGTTCTAGTCCCGGTTGGGGTGCCGGATTCTGTCCCGGTTGCTCCTCTTCCAGTCCAGCTCTCTGCTGTGGCCAGGGAGTGCAGTGGAGGATGGCCCAAGTCCTTGGGCCCTGCACCCTCATGGGAGATCAGGAGAAGCACCTGGCTCCTGGCTTCGGACTGGCACAGCACCAGCCGTTGTGGCCATTTGGGGAGTGAATCAACGGAAGGAGGACCTTTCTCTCTGTCTCTCTCACTGTCTGTAACTCTACCTATCAAATAAATAAATAAATATGTTAAAAAACAAAAACAAACAAAAAAGAACAAGTTACTTAACATTAAAAAAAAAAAGACTGACTTTGAGAGTGCATAGATGTAAATTTGTCATTTTCCCTCAGTAATCACTCAGGTGTACTGAAAAGAATCCACTCTGCACCTTAGTCTTCACTCCTTGGTCATTACTGTTCGCGCCACAGTCAAGGTTAGCATCCTCTGGGCTCCCAAAGTGTGAGCCTCATCTGGCACTGCATCACAGTTAACCACAGGTAATACCTGGATGAACTATGATGCGACTCCACATTATGGATTTCTAGCACCCCATTTCCTGTTGGCAAGGGTATCAACATTGTGCTCAAGCACAAAAGTGGGACTAATCGATCCCCAAATCCCCCCTTTGCAGGTCTAGTTCCTGGGACCCCTCTACTACTGATTATTCTACCAGTTATGGCCCAGTCAGAAAATAGGAGCCATAATGGGAACACTTTAATAAAGAATTATCAATAGAGGATTGGAATAATAGGGAACTGGTGAACGAGAGCTAAAAAAAAAAAAAACAAAAACAAAAAAAAAACATTCTGAAGAACATAGAAGTAGTCTCTGAGCTTAAGATAGAACAGCCAAGGAAGAGTTATCTCCCACCAAGGCTGAGATCCAGGCTTCATTTAAAAGGGCACAGCAGAGAAGTCACAGATGGATCCCACCAGTGGGAACTCCTAGAAATCTGTCCTCTGGGTGTCAGGGAAGCTGCTGATCCCGGAGCACTGCTGGAACCAAGGACTGTAGGAACTGGACTCTGCGGGAGTGTTTCAGATGCAGACAGCTTTGCCAGTCCTCCAGGAAATCAAACACTGCCATCCCCCCCCCGCCCCCTGCCTGGAGAATGCCCACCTATCTTTGAGTGAGATGGACCATGCATGGGAGAAAGTCACATCATTACTGGAGTCAATGCAAGAGCCCAGAGCTGGAGAAAGCTAGAGCAGTATACGAGTCAAGTGCTGTGGAAAACCATGCTTTCTATGTACTGGAGAAGGCCTGACTGCTACAGAAATCAAGTCTAAGAGCAGGCCTCCTGTGCTGGAATTCAGTGCTGGGAAAGCCACATGAATGTCAAGACCGGTGGTGGGTGTGGGAAGAGTGTCAGAAGTCCACTCATTAAAAAGGCATTATATGGTCTGGGGTTTGTGGTGTCCCCTCTGGGAGACGGGGAATGGCAAGGTTCCCAGGGACTCTTCATTCTGGACATGCATCTAGGGCACAGAATTACTGGGATGTTCCCACACACACGCCCCTGCGAAACTACTGCAACAAGAGCAAGAAAAATGAAATCTCTGGACCAGAAGAGTATCACTTTGCTCTTGCAACGGCCCACTAGCGCCCTCTACTGACAAAGCCTTATTATCATGCTCTGTGCTTGGAGAAATGGGTAAAATAGCCCAGCCCTCTGTGTCAGAGCAGGTACTGGAGGGTGAATTCGGGAGTGACAGGCAGAAACTTGACTACTGACACGGTGGCGGAATCTCCTCACAGGATCTCCACCCATAGGCTGAGGGCCAATATGATAGTGAAGGAATTTCCCCTCCCTACAAAGACGTAAATCACTAGAAATACCTCATCCCTCTGAGAAGCTCAGTGGTTAATGCTGCTATCAAAGAACTGAAAGAACCAGGGGTAGTGGCACCTATCACACACCCATTTAACCCATCAGTCTAGCCTGTGCTGAGTCAGTTGGACTTTAGAGAATGACTGTGAACTCTCAGGTGGCGCCTCCAATTGCAGCTGTTGTCCCAGATACAGTATCTTTCTTGCAGCAGATCAATGTGGTCCTGGTATGTGGTATGCAGCTACCAAGATGGCTTTTCCTCCAGACCAAATGCAACGTCCAAAAGCAGTTGTTTGCTTTTAGCTGGGAAAGGCATCCTACTCATACACTGTATCTGCAGGTTGCCTGAAGGCCATGTCAGTTCTGCTCCGTCATAACGTGGTTCACAAAGATCTTGAGCATCTTGACATTCCTCAAAACGCCACACTGCTCTGCTGTAATGACAGTACTGGATCTGGTGAGCAGGAAGTAATAAGTACTTCAGTTTCCTGGTAAGACAGATGCAGACCAGAAAAAATTGGTAGATAAACCCCACAAAAGAGAACCGGGCCCATCATCAGTGTGATCCCCGAGGACTCAGTGACTCCTGGGGTATGTGAAGCTTTCTCTTCCAAGGTGAAAGACAAGCTGAACCTTACATAACCTACTTTCTCTGAGGGAGGCATAATGCCTGCTGGCTGATTTGGATTTAGAGTCACCTGTAGGCTGCCAGTTTTGAGTAAGGACCAGAACATGAGATGGCTCTGTAGCAAGCTCAGGCTGCAGTCCATGCTGCTCTTCCCATTGGCACTTAGGACGTGGCAATCCAGCGATACCCAAAGTGTCCATGGCAAACAGGATGCTATCTGGAGCCTTTGGTAAGCACCAACAGGACAAAGTACAGAGTCACAGAGTTTTGTTTTTAAAAAAATCCTAGGCCCTTGTTTCAGTGATTCTGTTTTTGGGAGAACAGCTGTGGTTTGCTATAGGACCTTGCTAGGGACTGAACACCTAACCAGAAGACATCAAGGAAACCATGCAACCTGAGCTTCTCCTTATGAATGAAGTATTGTCTGACTAACCCAACCATGCGGTTGAATGTGCACAGCAGCAGTCTATTATCAAATGGAAATAGTATACAGAGCAGGAGCCCAGGCTTGGAAATGTCGAGAAGGTATGACCCATTCACAGAGCGGGTGGCTCCGTCTCCTGTGACATCACTCCTATTGCACTCTCTCTCTGGCTCATTAGTGCCTGTGACCTCCTGGGGTGTCATTTTTGTCTAGCTGATTGTGGTAGAAAGCACTCAAGCCTGCTTGCAGATGAGCCTTTGTGATCGGCTGCTATGCCCCGACAGTGGACGGCTGCAGCACCACAACCCACTTGGGTGAACCGGAAGGACAGTGGGAGAAAAAATCCTCACAGTAGACAATTTTGGGCAGTACATTTGGTTATTCACTGTATACCGTATTTGGCCTGAGATATGGCCAGAGGTACAGATCTACACTAATTCACTGGCAGTTGCTAATGGTTCAGCTAGCTTGTTAGGGAACTGGAAAGAAAAGGATTGGAAGATTGATGACAAGAAGTTTGAGCTCTTAGACCTTAGTAAAAACAGCCCTCCTCAATGGCTTCAGTTGCAGCCATGTCATGCAGAAACCATCTTGGTCGTCTTTTTTTCTTTTCACATAATGGCAATTTATTAACAGAAAACATAATCCGAGGAGTCCCGTTCACAGGCAGCGACCACGGTGAGCCCCCTTCCTGCGGGTGCTCTCAGAGGGGATGGGGTGACATCCTCAATTTGCCTGATTTTCATACCCAAGCGAACAAGGTCTCTGAGAGCTGACTTGGGCCCCAGGCCTAGGGGTCCTGGTCCGATTTCCTCCTGTGGCCCAGAGTTGGACATGTAGGGCAGTGACGCCCAGCTCCTTGCACCTCTGGGCCACATCCTGGGCGGCCAACATGGCAGCATCTGAGAGGATTTCTCTCAGTCAGCCTTCACTTCGTCCCACCAGTCACTCAGCAGATGGTTTCCTCGCCAGAAGGATCAGCGACGTGGACAAAGGTGTCACTGAAGGGTGCAAAGATGTGGCAGTCACCAAAGACATTCTCACCTTCAGCCACCCGAGGTCCAACGCTGATGACCTGTTCTTTCTTTTCCTTCCCCTTGCGAGGTGCCATTTCTGCACATCTTGGTTCGACTTCACCACTGGAAAGACAGGAAGAGGGCGGGGCCTGTCTTGAGTCTTCTCTGATTTCTGAGTTTCTCACATGGGCGTTGACTTCTTTAACTGTTCATGACTTTATTTACCCTTAGCAGTCAGAACGGGATATTAGGTTTTCTCAGAGGCAAGAGGTAAAACAACTTCCTCTTGGGTGGGCTGGCATATTGGTTTTCTGGGAGATGCTACAATGAAGTACTACAGTGTGGGTGGCTTGGACAGAAATTTATTTTGTCACAGTTCTAGAGGCCAGCAGTTCCAGATCTAAGGATGGCAGGGTTGCTTTCTTCTGTGGCCTCGCTCCATGTCTTTCCTTGTGTCTTGACAGGGTCTTCCACTTAGCTGTGTCCAAATTTCTTCTTCTTATAAGGACATCCATCAAATTGGACTAGGGCCCACCCTGGTGACCTCATTTAATTCTCTCTTGAAAGACCTATATCCAAATAAAGGCACATCCTGAGGTGCTGGGAGTTAGGACCTCAACACTGAATCTGAAGGTGGAGGTGTACAGTTCAGTCCACACCACCCAATACTGAGCAGATTTGAAGAACATCATCCTTCTCCTAGGGCACCTTAGATGAAGCCTTACCTACAGGACTTTTCAAATGTAAGCAGCAGTCTCAAGTCGGTTGCCTCTGCAGCTCCCTTTCAGGTCCTCAAAGATGAGCGGATGAGGGAGACCTCTCTAGGGCTGCGTGTGAGACAGGATTTTTAGGAGGGCAGGTGGGGAAGCCATCAATTACATCCCTCTTCTCCCTGAGTTCTGGACCATGTTACTGAATCCAGAAACTCCTTGGGCCCCTGCACCTGCATGGGAGACTTGGAAGAAGCTCCTGGCTCCTGGCTCCTGGCTTTGGATGAGCGCGGCTCTGGCTGTTGTGGCCATTTGGAGAGTGAATCAGTGGAATGGAAGACCTCTCTCTCTCTCTCTCTCTCTCTCTCTCTCTGGTTCTACCTTTCTCTGTAACTCTTTCATAAAAAATAATTGTTTTTTAAAAAAAGACTTGGAACTGGAAGGAGTAAAGCAGAATCTAAGTTTTTAGTCAACGTATGGGAGTTGCAGAATGGAGTTACTTAGGAAAGAGAAAAAGTGGATGTGCCTTCCTCTATTTTTCCCTTTGAGAGCTGTTGACCAAGAACTTAGATTCTGCTTTACTCCTTCCAGTTCCATGTGCTGCTTTCTTGCTGGCCGCTCCCTGCAGGCCACCCACATTCCTCGTCACATGGCTCAGTCCACCTTCACACTGTAAAGGCTTGAAGGCGCCTGCTTTGATTTCCTGACTTCCTTCTTCTGCTACCAGCTGAGAAAGCTCTGCTTTTAAATGGCTATTTGGTGATAAGCTCTGTATTTTCATACCAACTGACTTGGAACTTTAATTCCATCTGCAATATCCGTTCACAGCAGTTCCTACGTTACTGTTTGATTGAATGACCAGGACTCTTCGGGGAATCAGAATTGTCCACCACACCAAAGAATCCGTATCTTTGCTCCAGATCTCAAGAGAAGGCAGTCCCTGTGCACCACAGGTTTCTTAGATCCTAGCTTAGCACACACAGAATAAAGTATGGGGGCTGGTGCTGTGGCGCAGCGGGTTGGGGCCTGGCCCATGGTGTTGGCATCCCATGTGGGCATCGGTTTGGGTCCAGGCTGCTCCGCTTCCAATCCAGTTCTCTGTATGGCCTGGGAGGGTGGTGGAGGATGGCCCAGGTCCTTGGGTCCCTGCACTCATGTGGGGGCCCAGAAGAGGCTCTTGGCTCCTGGCTTTGGATCGGCTCAGCTCTTGCCATTGTGGTTGTCTGGGGGTGAACTAGCAGATGGAGGACCTCTCTCTCTCTCTCTCTCTCTTTGAAATAAATAAAATAAATCTTAAAAAAAATAAAGTATGGCGCCAATCTTGTAGTGTACCAGGTTAAGCAGCCATATGGGCACCGATTCAAGTCCTGGCTGCTCCATTTCCAATCTAGTATCCTGCTAATGCATCTGGGAAAGCAGCAGAGATGGGCCTTGGGCCCCTGCACCCTCTTGGGAGACTTGAATGAAGCTTCTGGCTCCTGGTTTCAGCCTGGTCTAGTCCTGGCCATTGTAACCATTTGGAGAGTGAACCAGCAGTTGGAAGATCTCTGTCTCTATCTCTTCTCTCCCTCTTTAACTGCCTTTCAAATATATAAAATAAATATTAAAAAAAATAAGTATGGCACACACACTCTCCTCTGTAGAAAGCAGTTAGTTCTTCTGGTTCAAAAATTTTTGGCAATTTTGTGTAAATTGTACAAAAGGTGCTCTTTCCCTGCATTTACTGTTATCTTTTGGGAATGTGCTGGAATAACTATGCGAATGCATGTTTACTCAGAAGCTAACAGCACCTTTAGCTGTCCAGTGCACAATTTGCCCAACTCTGACCAGTGGCCCTGACCCCAGCGGACCCTGGGCTCTCAGATATACCCTCTGCATTCCAGCCACTTGACCATGCTGGCTATTGTCTATGGAGACATTTTTTCCCAAGAAATCTTTCCTTCTGACTTCTTCGCTGATTTATTTTTATCTGTTGATATTTGGGGGAAATGTGTACTGAAATGGCCAATTGGCCTGAATAAAATGATAAATTTATACCCAGAAAAAAACCATCCCCCCCCCCCACTGGTTGGACCCACTCTATGTGGGTGTGTGTGTGTGTGTGCACGTGTGTATACACACACAAATACCCAAGACCCTCCAAGGATCAAACCATGAGTAGCAGCAATATTAAGGTAATAACAGTAGCTACTAATGTTACTCATTGCCTCAATCTATGTACATGTATAGATATAAATCAGATATATCTATATCTGTATCCTATATACACACTCTCATATACACATAATCTCAACTTAATCTTCACTGGAACTCTTTTTGGGTAGGGATTCTCTCTCCTCTATGATAAGAAAACCGAGATCCAGGCTATATTACTTGCCTAAGCCCATGGATAGGTAATAAGCTGAGTTAGAATTCGAACTTCTGCCACCTAACCCAGAAGCCACACACCTAATCCCTTTTTGGAAATTCATTGAGTGCCTGTGCCCTGAATGGGGGAGACCTTTGCTCTATGCCTCTCAAGTAGAAACCAGGACTGTTTTTGGTGGAGCCAGTGGCTCAACCTGGTACAGGAAAGGGGCAAGCCTAGAACGTCCCAGTTCTAGTCATGGGCATGGCTTGAAGGGAAGTGTGGTAGGGAGCTGTCTGTGGCTAAAACTAGACAGCCAGTGGGACAGC